CAACGGCCCGTCACCTCGACTAAGCATACAGAGTTGTACTTTTTTCGCTTATTTTCGTCAAAACTACCATCTAGCGCCTCAACGGTTAGAGCTAGAGCAAAACGGACAAAATTTTCGCCCATAGGGCTCTACTTTGATGATCTTACCCTTAGAAAACCATAAAAAAAATACTTTTAAAAAACGTCATTTTTGGGACCTGTTGTTTTTGATTTTTAAAAAATCAAATTTTTGAGCTAGAATGCTCATCTTCGAACTCGATCTGTCTTTTTATGACACAAAACGACCCTGAAAATCCCAGGTCGCTCGCTCACTTCGTTTTCGAGTTTTCGTGCGGACAGATACACAGACACACAGACACACAGACACACAGATACACAGACACACAGACAGACAGACAGACAAAGTTTTTTCCGACCAGACGGAGTAATAGGCTTCGCTAATCGCTCAGCCAACAAACCGCCTACGGCAAATCCTGGCAACCACCCCTAAAGGGCTAAAAGAAGGTATCAAAGAAAATGGGGTAGGTCAAAAAAGTCTGTACAAAATATTTTTTTTATGATCTCCGAAGGGGTTAATTTGTCAACGTAGAGTCCCATGGGCGAAAATTTTGTCCGTTTGGCTCTATTTCTAACCGTTTAGGCGCTGGAGGGTCTTTTTTGACGAAAATAAGCTTTAAATTGCATTAGTGAGCAATAAGTTGTAAAAGAAGGCCCAAAACCGCAAGAGAAAAGAAACTCCCCCCCCCACCCCAAAAAACGTTTTCAAAGCAGAAGGGTGGGCTGTAGTCGCAGTGCTTCGCCGTTACATCCCTTTCTCGTGTCTACGGGGCAAATTTTAAGGACGACGGGCTTTGTGGGCCGAAGGCCCGTTACATCATTTGATTATGTTCTTCAGCAAATCGCGTGACAGAAATGGTCGGGCCGCAGGCCCGGCCATCGCCGCCGGCAGGCCAAGCAGGCCCGGCCCCTGCCGAACGGAGTTGCCGGCGCAGCGAAGCGAAGCTGGCAACTTCGTTTGGCGGAAGGGCGGGTCTGCCTGTTTAAGTACGTTTGCAACAGGTTCGTCGAAGTGTAACATAGTGTTTATGTTATACAAGAGACTTCGATTCTTTGTATCAGTAACTTACGCGCCCCAATGACCGTGCCCGTGTTGCGGCCGCCGATGGTGACAGTGCAGTCCCCGAAGGAACAGCGCTTTGACCGCGTCTTAGTCTCCGCTGATGCCTCCGTAGAGCGCTCCTCCGTCGAGGAGGCCGCGGCGGCCAGCCCGTTGTTCTCCTGCAGCATCTTAATGCTGCCAGAGTTGCTGCCGCCGACGTGGACCCTGCATCCGGCGAAGTTGCACCTCCTGTTTCTCGTGAGGAGAGCGTCCCCGGAAGCCAGCAGGTTGGCAGATGGTTCGGAGGGCTCGGTGAGGAGGCGGATGGAGCCGGAGTTGCTGCCGCCGCGCCCAATGGTGACGCTGCAGCCGCCGAAGGAGCAACGCTTGGTCCGCGCCAGGGCGCCCTCCGAGCTCTGGGTAGGGCCTGTGGTGGGGGCCGGCTGGGCTTTGTCGGCGAGGAGGCTGATGCTACCGGAGTTACTGCCCCCGATGTTAACGCGGCAACCTCCGAAACTGCAGCGCTTTTCTCGGCGCTGGCCGTCCTGTCCGGCCACCATCTTGATGTGTCCCGAGTTGCTGCCGCCAGCTCCGATGTTCACGCTGCAG